GTCCCAAAGGTGTGTTTTCATTGGCCGACTGCAGACAGGAGTCGGAGGTTTTCAAGGAGTGCTTGAATACTTTTTGAGACCGATTTAGTCGTGAGACGACTCAGAAAGCTGTCGCAGTGCCGGTCACACTGTACGTTCGCAACATGGTGAACAAATATGCAAAACACCCTCATGCTGACCGTTTTTTGTCACGACTTTGCACCGTGTGATCCGGGTTTTAAGTAGAATTTCCCCTCTGCTCATCAAACAGGGTTCATAATGAAGTCATTGTGTTTTCATCCTGCAGACTAGAAAACAGCCTGCTACATATGTGTTTATTTGTCGCACAGCAGGTGCTGAACAGCACGTGCAGCTCTCCCAACACTGTTGTCAATCACTATAACCCTCACAATAATAATGAAGCAGCATCACCACTAGGGCTGCTCAATTAATCGAATTTTAATCACAATTACGATCTGAGTTTTGAACGATTATAAAAAACAAAACAAGCCGATTATTTGCTCCTCCCGCTTGCGCTGCCCTGAGTTGCAAATGAAGCGCTCCTCCCACAGTGTTGCCAACTTAGCGACTTTGACGCTATTTCTAGCAGCTTTTCAGACCCCCTTCTTGACATTTTAACTTAAAAGTACCTAGCGAACACCTCAGAAACATCTCTGGTAACCCTTAGCTACTTTCTGGATAACTGTCGTTGACGTTTCCTGCAGGTTAGCTAAACACTCCGCCTGCGCTCCGGAACGTTCTTCAGGACATTAGGAAAGGGAATGATGTAGTGATGTGTCAGTCGCTAAAGAAACAGCTCTCGGAGCCGGCTCCTTTTTGGATTAACCAGAGTGAGTGACACACACACCGCACCTGCGGACTCCTGAGCCACCAAAAACGGCTAAATGTGCGCGTGCGGCGTGCTAAACACACGTGCAGCTTGCCCTGATTGCTGTGAGACCGGGGTGGGGGGTGGGGGGTGCAGCTGTGGTTGGGACAATTATTACATTAACTGATGGACTTGTAAATACAGTTTATAAATAAGGTAGAAACAAGTTCCTCACGCTGATAAATAATAACTAATCTCTCCGAGGACACGGTGCTAGTGCACTCTCCTACAGCACCTTGACACGACTAAATACGTATTATGCAACATTTTGTGAACATCAATTTATTTGCATTTATTTGTTATGAATGCCGCTGTATAATTCTTGCTGTCAGTATTTTTCTTGCTGTCAGTATTTGCAAGATATTGGTATTTGGGTCTGTACTGGTTAGACTTACATGAGTTAAACCAAGGTCTACAGCCCTTGGGTCATAGACTATGAGCTATAAGTATATTGGTCTTTTTATACTGGCAATCAGGAGTTATTTTAGTGATCATCTTGTTTCTTATTTTTGTCCTGATTGTGCCCTGAGCAATTTTATGACTGAATAAAAACAAATAAAATCAACATAAATTGAAAAATCGTCCTAAATAATCGTGATCTCAATTTCAGTCACCATAATCGTGATTATTATTTTTGCCATAATCGAGCAGCCCTAATCACCACCATCTACACAACGCCTCATCCCCGTTTCCATGTTCTGTAACTGAATCTTCACAGCACGTTTGCTCAGTCGTGTCAGGGATGCACATTCAAATGCCGTGAGATGAAACAATATCCACAACGATATTGAGCACAGCTTGATCTGGAGCAGGGTCGTGGAGAACTGCTGCTCATAATACAAGTGGGTGCAAATAATAAATCTTAAAGCAATAAAGGGGTCATTAAGGGCACTTGAGGAGCTTCATAACGTGGCTCTATGCCAACAGATGTATGAAGCCGTCAATGATGCAGATTCAGCATGACGCGGGCTTTAAATGAAAATAAACTGTGTTTGACGACCAGTTCCACCAGTAAAACACACGGCTGTACCTGTTTGGCCAGGCTGACAGCATCAGAGTGAAGTCTGTCTCTCAGGTGAGGGTCCAGCTGGAAGGCCGGTGCGATCTCCACTACCTGCAAAAGAAAATCCAAATCTCAAAATGCTTTTACTTTATTTGACCCACACCAGCTCCCATCCTAACAGTCAGACTGGAGAGTTCATGCCGGATGCTACACATAGGCCATCTTAACCACTAAAACTCAAACCGTTCTAAACAGCACGAGGCACACCTGCTAATGAAACACAAAAACCAGTAGAGGAACATGAATCTAATCCCAAACACGATCCCGCTCAGCAAACGGAGACCTCGCTGAACCGTTTCAAATCCATTTCTAACTACTATCGTCTCTCACATTCAAACAGATCTCAGATCACAGGCAAAGGCAGCTTAACAGAATCGAAAACCGCCAGCTCTGCCGCCAACAACCCACTAACGCGATTAACATTTATCATTTGATTAAAGTCAAAAGGATCAAAGTGATGAAAACAGGCGATTAAAAATGCTTTGAGGCAACGACGCTTAATAAAATATCACAGATGATGATCAGCCTCTGGTGAAAGCTTTGCTATGCTAGGAGTTACACTGATTTTACTGTCCTTTTAGTCTGTTATTGAAGCCGTTTTCTACTGGTTTGTTCCCCCGATGTTACAACTTCAACCATCTCAGTGAACAATGGCTGCCTAATGAAACACAATTCAACCGAACACAAATAAAAACACTGAATCCGAGCTGATCTGATGGTGGATTACAGTTATGATTCTGACGTCTATTCGGCGACCGTTAGCTGAGGCTTCTTGTTGCTGCTCAGAGACTCCAGGACTGTCGGTCCATAATCACTTGGCCTGTTTGCTAGAATAAAATAAAGCATTTGACCTTTGCCCTGCGTCACACCCCCTTTATGGTAATCCCTAGGGATGTCCCGATCAGGTTTTTTTGCCCCCGAGTCCGAATCATTTGATTTTGAGAATCTGCCGATACCGAGTCCCGATCCGATACTTTTGATAAAGGAAGAAAAGGTTCCAGAACGTTCCTTATTTTTTATTTAATTACATTTTTATTTTAATTTTTAACAACTGATCACTTCTGTGAGGTAGCTTGAACATTCAATAAATAACATCAATTCTTCACTTTTGGACTTTATTGCAAACATAAAAAGTCTAATATAAAAACAGATAGCACTTCAACTTAAAGAGCAAGTCACCCCCTACCAGAGTATTACTCCACTCCCACTTCCTGTTTGAAAAATGCAACAAATGCTGTTGCCTAGCAGACTGAGAGGGCGGAGCCGCTAACAAACACACACACAGGCTCACAACAACATTGTGACATCGTATGGTACCAGCTAACGTTCTAGGGTACCTCTTAGCCAATAGCGATGGCTGATTTAAATTCAAATGCAGTGCTGAGTTTTTACCTGACAACGGCACAGCTCTGACAGTTTTAGGCAGAATATTTACATTTTAACTAAGATGCACTAAAGTGCAAAACTATTGACTAAACGAGTCTGCAGCACGATTAGACACTCGTTTATATAGTTTATCAGCAAAAAAAGTTTATTTGGGGGTGAGTTGCTCTTTAAAATACCTGGCAGGGGTCTATTTTGCCTCGGTCCCCAAAATGCTTAGATACGCCCCTGGGCATGGGAGTGAGTTTTGAAGACGATCTGAACTGTGTGAACTATATAAATACTACATGCTGATGAATAATTGCTTTATACAGGTACAAACGTGTAGTGGGATCATCTACCTACATTTTGTTTTTATAAGAACTTTGTTTTGTTTTCTTGGTTTTTATTTTCCTGTCTTCCTGTCCTGTCTGTCTCTGGTCTTCCTGTCCTGTCTGTCTCTGGTCTTCCTGTCCTGTCTGTCTCTGGTCTTCCTGTCCTGTCTGTCTCTGGTCTTCCTGTCCTGTCTGTCTCTGGTCTTCCTGTCCTGTCTGTCTCTGCTCTTCCTGTCCTGTCTGTCTCTGCTCTTCCTGTCCTGTCTGTCTCTGGTCTTCCTGTCCTGTCTGTCTCTGCTCTTCCTGTCCTGTCTGTCTCTGGTCTTCCTGTCCTGTCTGTCTCTGCTCTTCCTGTCCTGTCTGTCTCTGCTCTTCCTGTCCTGTCTGTCTCTGCTCTTCCTGTCCTGTCTGTCTCTGCTCTTCCTGTCCTGTCTGTCTCTGCTCTTCCTGTCCTGTCTGTCTCTGGTCTTCCTGTCCTGTCTGTCTCTGGTCTTCCTGTCCTGTCTGTCTCTGGTCTTCCTGTCCTGTCTGTCTCTGGTCTTCCTGTCCTGTCTGTCTCTGGTCTTCCTGTCCTGTCTGTCTCTGGTCTTCCTGTCCTGTCTGTCTCTGGTCTTCCTGTCCTGTCTGTCTCTGGTCTTCCTGTCCTGTCTGTCTCTGGTCTTCCTGTCCTGTCTGTCTCTGATCTTCCTGCATCTCCCAGTCCTCCAGAAAAACTCCTGCCTGCTTCCTTTTTCACCTCACAAGTAACTTTTTAACCAGCAGATCAAATTGATCTATTGACCGCTAAAAAAGCGGCGTGTGCGCCGCGCTGCCCGGCTGCACCAGTGACGAGCGCTGCAGCGCGAGCGCGTCCACACGTCACGCTCAAATACAGACAGACCTTACCAGAGAGAAAATGAACGGACACGAACGACTGTGTGTTATATATTTTTTGGTGACGCCACTTAGAAACTTAGAAAATGTTACTGTGGCCGTGTGCAGAACGCAGCTGGAGTTCATGAATGATCAGCGGTCTAATCCCCGCTACGCGGAGTCCATGTAAATAATATAATAAAGGTAGAAACTGGATCTCTTTGTGCTCCTGGGTAAGTTAAGGGCATCAGGGGAGCCTGACAACCTTTAAGGAGAACCAAGTTGCCCTCCTGTAATTTGAACCCAGCATCCGAGTCCCGATCAGTCTGAAACCACGTGATCGGGGCCGATTTCCGATCATGTGATCGGATCATCCCTAGTAATCCCCACAGTAGCGGACAGAAACCATGAAGCTGATCTTAAAATAACCTCCAACATTAAACTGGGTTAGATTAAATGTTTAAACGGGTACGTCACCTTCTGGTGTCTGCGCTGAATGGAGCAGTCTCGCTCGAACAGATGGATGACATTTCCATATTTATCACCTGAGGAGAGACAGAAGCAGCTTCAAATACAGTAGAAAGAGTACAGGATGAGCTCTGCTGGTTCCTGTGTCAGTAACCAACTGTAGTGTTTGACCTTTATTTTGATAAATTAAGAACAAGTGTTGTTGCTCAGTCAACAAAGAGGGCAACACTTTTAAAACCCAAACAGAGATCCTGATAAGCCACACCAGGTGCCGTCTCCCTACATTAGTCTGCATCTTTGATTAGCCCAACAAGACCGAACATCTAAATGGACAAAAAGCATTTTTAAATACCATTAGTACTAGTCCCCACCCTGGGCTGCCACCTTACTGTGGTGGAGGGCTTTGAGTGTCCCAGTGATCCTAGGAGCCAAGCTGTCTGAGGCTTGATGCCTCTGGTAGAGTCACCCATGGAAAACAGGTCCTAGGTGAGGGATCAGACAAAGAGCAGCCCACAGACCCCTAGTGGCGACACATATCAATGCAAACAGCGTTCCCTCACTGTAACGCGGGTCACTGCTGGAGCAAGGCCTGGAGGTGGGGGCTTGACGGCAAGCGCCTGGTGGCCAGGCTTTCACCCATGGAGCCTCACTGGGCACAGCCTGAAGAGGAGAGGTGGGTCCCCCTTCCCATGGGCTCACCACTTGTGGGAGGGGCAAATGGGGGTGGGTGCAATGTGTGAAGGGTAGTAGCCGAAGGCAGGAACCTTGGCGGTTTGATCCTCGGCTACAGAAGCTGGATCTCGGTTAGTGGGAATGTCACCTCTTTGGTGGGGAACGAGCCTGAGTTGGTGTGTGAGGCTGAGAAGTTCCAACTAGATATAGTCGGACTCACCTCGACCCATGGTTCTGAAAAATACAAGGAAAAAAGACATTGCCAGGAGGGCCGAGAGAGCGGCACTGAGGCAATGACTGACAGCACCCACACTGGCAGAACCCACATTGATTACACATGTCTACAGCAGTATGATGGGCCATTCCCATCTGTACCGGGTCGGCCCGGGCCGGGTAGCCCCAGTCGGCCCCAGCCTGGCCCGGTTGATTCCACACATCCTTGCTTTAAGCCCATGTGGGCTGATTCTACCCACCAATCAGAGGCTTGCTCTAATGGAAGGTGTGAATTTGCTGTCAGCAGTGGGTGTGTTGGCCCTGGTCGGCCTGAAGCAGACCCCCTCGAGAAGAGGGCTGAGAATGAGCCTTGGTTGGCCCGGAAAAATACCAGGCCACCCAGATATGTAAACAACCTATGCTACCCGGCCCGGGCCGACCCGGTACAGATGAGAATGGCCCATTAGACACTCATCTATAGAGGTAATCAGCAAAAAAATAAGTTGATTTAGGTGTTGCTCACACTTTAAACAAAATTAGGCAGGTGCATAAATTTGGGAACCACCAAAAAGAAATGAAATCAATATTTGGTAGATCCTCCTTTTGCAGAAATAACGCCCTCTAAACTCTTCCTGTAGCTTCCAATGAGAGTCTGGATTCTGGTTGAAGGTATCTTGGACCATTCTTCTTTACAAGTTCATTCAGGTTTGATGCTTCTGAGCATGGACAGCTCTCTTTGAAGCTTGGTTTATGCTTGACGCATTTACTTTCCGCTTGGTGATGCGGCTCGCGGATGGAACGCGCTTCACAACTCGCAGCGTTTATGGTTCATGCGGCTCGTCTCTGCGGTGAGCCAATATTCTCCCAAACTGTAGGGGGCAGCATGGAGCTCTACGGCATGCATCCAACACTACACCATAGTAGAAGTAGAAATTACTGTTGTTTACAACAGGGCATTCCAGCATTTTTAACAGCGTCCTCGTCTTTTCCGACAGTGCGAGCTATTTCTCTCCAAGAATTATTAACAACATGTTGATCACGGTGATCTTTGAGAGCTGAATCATACAAATGTCTGTATTTACGAACCTCTGCCATACTAGTTCTTGCCAGTCAGCCATGTTTTTCTGCGTCCGACCGTCCACGTGGTTAGAAAATTTCCTAGGTGCGCGGTGCGGAAAGTTTGGACCGTGCGGAGGCGCGGTGGAGGGGCGTGGTTGTTAAAATGACGCAATTTCGCCGCGCAGAGCAGTGTGGACATCGTGGACGCGTCAAGCATAAACCAAGCTTAACTCACACCGCAGATGTTGAATAATATTCAAGTCTGGTACTGAGATGGCTGTTCCAGAACGTTCTACTTGTTCCTCTGCATGAATGCCTCAGTAGATGCTGAGCAGTGTTATTGGTCGTTGTCTTGTAGAAAGACCCAGCCCCGGTGCAGCTGCAGCTTTGTCAGATTCCTGGACATTGGTCTCCAGAATCTGCTGATATTGAGTGGAATCCATGCGTCCCTCAACTTTAACAAGATTCCCAGTCCCTGCACTCGCCACGCAGCCCACAGCATGATGGAACCACCACCATGTTTTACTGTAGGTAGCAGGTGTTAAACCCTTTTTAGCTCATAACCAAGATGATGGGCAACACAAGCTGACTAATGGGGGTAAAAGAAGAATGTTGGGTTAGAAAATGGAGAAATTACACCGTTAGATACCAGGGGAAAAGAAAAAAACAGACGGTAAAGCCGTATTAAATAGAGTATGTAGGAAGTAAAGACAAGTATACTTGAGTGACAGTGACATGAGTGCAAACAGTGACCGTATAGGAGCAGTGGCTTTTCCACCTAAACAAAGGCTTTCAGACAAATATCACTTGCTCAGCAAGGCACCTGTCAAAAGCAAAAATCCAGTGGTGTGGTTGGGTATGCGCTCCCAGTGCAGACACACTTCCTGTAAAAGTCGGTGTTGGGTTTCAGATCTTCAGAGAGGACGGCGATACGTTTTCTAATGGAGGAGCATAAAGTCCTGCTGCACCACAAATTGTTTTGACAGGTTTCACCTGAGCTAAGGCTGCTAAGGCTTTCAATAATTTTTTTTAGTTTTTATTTAGACATTTGAATAACAAAACATACACGGTATTGAAGAATATAAACAGGGTATAAAAATTCCACAGCTTGTAATAACAAGTTTAACAAGTTATGTATACAACTACAAGTACTTAAACAAAAACATATACTTTAGAAGAAAACAGATAAACAAAATAACTGGAAAAAAAAAAATATATATATATATATATATATATATATATATATATATATATATATGTAAAAATGCTCAAGGTATAAATAAACATGTAAATCAAGGGAAATTATACATTCGGCACAGCTCTTGTGTTTTACACGCTTTGGAGTTAGTACTGTTAAGATTCTCCAGATAATTGGAAATCAGGGCTTTAAAAGCAAATATGTTTGAACGCTGTACAATGTATGTGAAATTTGGCAAAAATGATCAGAAGATTAATAATTAGTCTTGGGCGGAATACTGGTTCATAGCGATGGGTACCGAAATCTGTACTTTTTAAGGTACCGACCGAATTCCACAGTACCGACTGAGCACCGATTCACATCATTTGAAACGGATCCTCGTTTCGGTACCTGTCCTTCACAACGAGAACTTGCCTAGACAGCTGCGCATGCGCAAGAGCGTTATGTCGTCGGTCGCTGCGAGCGAGTTGTAAACAGAGCAGCATGGTAGAAAGAACGCACGCTAACGCTTGGGTCCACTTCACTAAATGTGATGGGTAACTGGGTGATGATGAAACCAGCCACAACGATCTAAGTGAGACATCCTCATCTTTATCTGCTCCGGTAGGTAAATAAAATGTTTAAGATAACGTTAGCTTGATATGTTATCCTCCGTTCCGCTAATGGTGCGTTCGCTTTCTCCTCTGAACTCCGACTAGAAGAACATGAACGCGCTCTAAAGTTTGGCTTCACTTTACTAAATGCGACGGGTGATTTGGTGAAGATGAAACCAGCGACAACGATCTAAGTGTGAGGCATCAACGTTTTAATCTGCTCCAGCAGCTAAATAAACTGTTTAAGATAACGTTAGCTTGATAAATTAGCTTCCATTGCCACCATTGTTATCAGCTAATGGTGCGTTCTATTTCTCCTCGGAAATTCTTATTCCCAGTAGGAAAAATCAAATGAAAAAGGACGGCAAAAGGAATGAAGATACACAGTAAATTTAGTTCACAGTAAAGATGTTTGCTTCAGTTTAATTATCAGCTTATAAAACTACAAGGACGATGTTAAAATACAAACAGTTGTATGTTATTTATCGTGATATTTATCAAATATGGTTTTAAATTGAGAAAAATATGTATTTAATTATAAAAGAGAATTAAAATATTAAACACTCAAAAGTATCTCAAATTGGTACCGTTAAGTACTGGTATCGATTCCTAGGTACCGGGAATTAGTACCGAATCGATTCAAATGTCAAAGGTACCCATCCCTACTGGTTCATACTAAAAACCGGTATTTATTTTGGGGATTATATGAATTTTTCACATACCGCTATACCGGTGAATGGCTTAGACTACGTACAGAACGTTCGTAGTAGGAAAGTGTTTCAGTGGGGACTCATTTCACTGCTACACACAAACACCACAGCGTGGTGAAACCAAGAATGGCGGCTGGCGCAAGCTGTCACGGCGACATCAAAACTTCGAACGCAGAAGAATTTATTCCAAAAAGAGGACCCACGTCTGTTGTTTGGAGGTTTTCGGGTTTAAAAGTTCGGACGTGGAGCAAACAAGTTTTATATGCTAATGCTGTCGAGCAACGGTGGTAGCCGGCGGGGGTAATACCAGCAACTTGCTTCATCACCTCAGCTGAAAACACGTCTTGGATCACCAAGAATGTCTCAAGCTTCGATCTGCACCCTCCACCTCCAAGGCTAAAACAGCTAGTAGCAGTCGGAGTCAGACGTCCATTAAAGACACGTTCGCTAAAGGGACTGTTTATAAAAAAAGCAAGCGGTGGGTCGAGATAACCAACACAATATCGTTGGATGTTAAATCATAAAGATGGTTAACTGAACATATTATATGCAAAACGTGTTAATTTAAAAATAGTTCATTTTGACTGCAATATTTTATCTTTCTAGTGAATTTTTTTAACTGCTTTCTATTGATAAGGATAATTTAAGGGGGTTTCTGCGTTTACCTACCTGTGACTGGACATGGAAAAACTGGTATTCTGCACATGAAGGTAAAACGGGCTACTTAAGGCCAATCTAGTGCAGCGATTATTTTCTTATAAAAATAATCAGAGTAATCGCGGCCTTGTGAAAAATACCGTAAAACCGATATAATTTTAAAAAGCACCGTGATATGACATTTATGCCATACCGCCCAGGCCTATTAATAATATATGTTTTTCCTGGAATTATTTTATCGGTATGTGAGAGGCCAAATAGAATGTGTTGAAATTTCAGTTTACATGAGGGATCAATTTTGGTGCTTATAAAATTATTTAGATCAATCCAAAATACATGTGTATAAGTGCATTCCCAAAATAAATGACATTGTTTCCTCTGCATTGCTGCAGCAAAAAGTACAAAGAGTGTCAAAGCTAAGGCTTTCAATTATGGCTCAAAAACACAACTAATGATGCAATCAGCAAAACAATTACTTTAATTAGTCGCATTTCGTTCTGAACACACACTTATTTAGCCTTGCCTTGTGAGTGACTGACTTCCACCCAGGGCTTAGGAATTTCCATAATATGGGAAAAGCAAACAGAATCATGGAATGGACATGGGGAGTTAAAATCTGAATCTAATCTAATAATTCTGCTGTTTTCCTGATGATCCACACATTTTCACACTTTATTTTTTATAATTAAAACTTTAATGATGTTTAACGTGAAAAACTTTCCTGTGTGTGTTGTGACAGACAGGCAGGTAACAGCTGAGATGAGCTTCGGGCATACAGGGATTGATCGTTTAAAGAGACAATGTGTAGTTTTTACCAATAGTGTCTGGAAACATCCATCAAAATGTTGCTAAAAATTAATTAAATGACGCCCAGTTGTTGAAAAATATTGGCGGCTTTGTAACATATAACCATAAAAATCAGGTCTAAAATACAAGGGAGCGAGTCTAAGTCTCTGGGCGACGCCATGTTTCCTTCTACAGCAGCCCATGAGGACAAAATGCATTTGCTGATTTGTAACAAATGGTTACAAAACTTTCGCCATTCTTAAATGTTGTTTTACACATTTACCTCTTCACTCGTTGCCAGTGATGAAAGAGTCTTATGTGCTCGTTATTTTTGGTCAAGTTTGCACTCCCCAGGGTTTTTTTTTACCCTAATGGGCATCCGTTGGTAAGGTCTGACTCCAACACAAAAACACTACTTGCTTGCAATGATTTAGGTACCTACTGCTCCCTATCGCCAGAAAAAATACACACTGTTACTTTAAGACTAAAATGATCTGTACTGTACGATTTTGTGTGATCAACCGTAAACCACAATTAGATCAATAAAGGTGAAGGCGACAAGGTGGCACTCATTCAGATATGTAGTGTAGACCAAAAATGAGCCAGTTAACTCCATGTTGCAGCTAAAAGTTACAAGACAGTACATCCACAAAAGAAAATTAAAAAAAAGAAAGAAAATGTGACAAAAATCACTGTAGAAACCTCAGTGTCCCGAACGTCATCGTCAGTAAGCAAACCGGGGCACCAGTGAAACACCACATGTTATTCAAATTCAAAAATACTTTATTAATCCCAGAGGGAAAATGATTGCTGCAGTAGCTCAGAATAATAATAATAATCAAGTCATCAAAGAGTTGTTGTATATTACAATGGCTGTTGGCAGGAAGGATCTCCAGTAGCGGTCAGTGTTGCAGCCAAACTGAAGAAGCCTCTGACTGAAGACACTCTTCCGTTGTCGGACAGTCTTGTGAAGAGAATGCTCAGGGTTGTCCATCATTTTCTTGATTCTCTGGAGAATCCTTCTTTGCATTATCTCCTCCAGCGGTGCCGAAACTCTGGCTGAGTCCTTGAAAGGGCTTGGAGTTCCTCCATCTTGTTGGCCAGTGATCTCACATTGCCCATTATGATCGATGGAAGAGATGGTTTGAGTTTCCTCTTTCTCTGTCTCCATTTTGCTCCCGCTCTGCACCCACGCTTCTTGCGTTTTAGCTCATTTGGGATTCGTGGCTTCGGTTGAGGTATTATTTCAGCCTCTCCAATGCTAATCTGCTGCTCCCGATTGTAAACCAGCTTGTTGCCATGGTTACGCATCATAACAAATGCTCAAAAAGAGAAAAAAGCTAAAAAATAGTAGTAAAAATCCTCCAAGCTTCACAGCACCAGAAACATAAAAGCAAAATGTCCAAAAAAATAGTTTTTCTTGAGAAACTAGAAGAAAAAATGTCCAAGAAAAGGCAAAACGTACATATAGTCAACAGAGCTACTCCAACATGCAGCCACCCAGAGCAGCGCAGTTCCGGAAAAAATAAGTGTGTTATGCGTGTGTGTTATGTTTGAAGATTGTGTGGATTTAGGACTGACTTGTGAAAGGTTTTATTTTGACATCATTTACATAATGTGTCATTATTGCTGTTTTGAACACAACTAGGATTTTTGTCCTCCTTTTTACTACGTATTTCTATATTTTTTTTTACTATATTGCCATTTGCACAGGAGACACGAAGACAGCATTTTAACCAGGTGCATGCCTTGAACACATGTAAGACAGTGAAGAAAAAATGAGTTTAAATTGAATGTAATTCTTTAGGCTCTTATGAGACAATCATGTGAAACACCAGGAATATTTGTGACTCAATAGTTTACAGGCTGATCATTAGTTCCTCAATAAATAATTAATGCTCTGATGACTGAAAACACTTCTTGCTAAATTTATGTTCAAATGAATCAATATTCATGAAATTTTGATATTTTTGATTGAATTCATGAAAGAATATTTAATAATATAATAAAACACAATTTTTATTTTATTTTTTCCAAAACTGATGATTAATAAGGGTAAATCATTTTGATTTGAATATTTTTTATCTATGATCGAGCAGCTTTACCCCGAGATCAGCTGACTTTCTGAGCTTTTCCTAATGAACTCAAACAAAGAGACACTTACCAAGGATCTGAACTTCTATGTGTCTTGGCCTTTCGATGAACTTTTCTACAAACAGAGCGCCGTTCCCAAAAGCCGTCAGGGCCTCAGAGTACGCCCGCTGGTAATTCTCCTCCAGTTCCTGAAAAACACACAAAAATAAATTTGTGTCTGACGGGGATATAGAAACACTGAAATATTATGATATTTCATGTTATGGGTACTATCAGACATTTAAAAGCGGTGCATCAATTTCTTTCATGGAGAATTTACATGCAAACATTTACTGTTTCTTTTATGTGGTGCAGTTCAAACTGGCTGCTGGGTTGCAGCAGTTTAACCACTTTCTTTGAGATAGAACAACAAAATCCCACGTAATTACTGGGGCTGGTTCATTGGAGTTTTGGACAATTAAAATTACTCCCACCCACATTTTCTAAGTTAAACATCTCTTTTAACAATGGTAGTTGCTGCATCCTGCTTCAGTCCTCCCCCCTATGTATCTGCAGGTTTAAGGGAGCCAAATTTAAGACTTTTTAAGACCTTTTTTAAAGCCACTTTGACCAAATTTAAGCTATTTTTAAAATTAAATTTAAGTTATAATTTCCAGCTATTGCCTGGAACCGGTGCTAACCACGCCGCGAACGTGGGATTAGCCATCCCGTTACCATTAAACTTGCACTTCCCCATGGCGCAAGCTCCCACTAGCTTAACCAGCTAATGTGCTCATCTAAAAATAGCCCCCTTTCACAACCAACTGAACGTGTACAGCTCCGCTTACGCCAACATCGTACACAAAAAATGCTGAACTAGAAATTCACGAAAATTTTATAGAAATAAAAGAATCTTGTTTATTGGGTCTTTGGTAATTTAAGACCTTTGGAAACTATTTAAGGATTATTTGTCATTTTTAAGGATTTTTAAGGCCTTAAATTTGGAAAAGCTAATTTAAGACTTTTGAAGGACCCGCAGATACCCTGCCTTCCCCCTGCTTCAGCCCTCTCCCCCCTCCCCCTGCACAGCAGCTGCAAACTCACTGATGCGCCTGCAGCCTCTCGGAGTTCCTGCTGCTCTAAACATTAAAATAATTATTTCATTTCCTGTTCCTCACTTCTGAATACCTTCAGTGGTGTCTGTTTGTTGCAACCACCAGGTACAAAAACTAACTTGTTTTTATTATTTTCTGTCCTGTCTCTGTTTATTATCTTCCAGCATCTCCTCTCAATCCTAAAGAAAAACTGCTACCTGGGTTCATATATATTCACCTCATGAGTTACCTTTGAACTGCAGTTGGACGCAGATGTCTGGAGCGCGCAAGGGGCTCGACACCCGGGAGGCGACAAACGACCGCGATCACGTTTTGTTTGGCTGTGTCAGGTTGGAGGGAATTAAGGTTATTTAAGCGGTTCAGAGTTTAAAAAGTGGTAGATATGATGTTTCACAAGGTGCTGCTAGAGTTGTGTGAAATCTTACTTCTGATTTTACTATAAAACATAATAATAAACTTCTCCATGTTTGCTCAGAGATGTACGGAGCATCCTGTCCGCTCATTGGTCAGTGAATGAAACCTCCGTTGATTGGTCCTCGTCCGAGCGACAGCGATGAGAAGTTGAAAATATTTCAACTTTCTGAGATCGCGTCGCTGGGTCGCCTGTGCACGACACGTGCACAAGCGCAAAATTTCACACGCACGTTTTTTGCGTTTCGCTTAGTAGGAGGGAGAACCACGATTATCGCTTTGTCACGCATGTCTCATTGAAAATGAATGAAGGAGAGGCGATGTCGCCTCCCGTGTGTCGAGCCCATAAGAGCTCTGCACCTCTCAGCTCAAAATAATCCCTGGAGAGTCCACATGAATAACGTAATGTCAGTAGAACCAGGATCTTTTTTGGGCTCCCCTGGGTGTGTATGCTGAGGGCTTCCAGGGGAGCCCGTCATCCTTTGGGGTGAGCCGGGGTCCCTTCAGCTCACCCGTAATTCGAACCCTGTATTGGTGCAGCCCGCGTGAGGCTTGGATACACAGAGATTTCTATCCGGCACAAACAAACAAATGAAGCCAAAGAGCTTGAATTAAAAATAATCCGTTGTTCAGCCTTGAACCAGCAACAGAGTGGTGCTGATTTCGCTGAGCAGGAAGCTGCATCGAACTCTCACCAGTAACTCAGTGCTTCCTTAAAGGTGCAACGTGTAAATTAATTCTGGTTGACCTTTTAGGTTAAAAATTCAGTTTTTCCTTAAAGGTGCAACGTGTAATTAATTCTGGCTAACCTTTTAGGTTACAATTCAGTTCCTCATTAAAGGTGCAGTGTGTAAGTAATTCTGACTAACCCTTTTAGGCTAAAATTAACTGCTAATTTAGCGACTTTAACTCACAGTGGCTATTATAACTAACTGAAACCTTCACTCAAAGACTGATAACACCCTGTTTGCTAATATTCTGAAGGAATAACTAGCATATTTAACACTGCAAGTGTTGTAAGACGTTGCTACGGCAACGCACCAGCTTTTGCTAAAATACTGAAAGGAATAGTATTTTAAGCGTCAGTCACGGCATTCCGTGCAATCTTAAAACGCTAAAACCTGTGCGCACAAAGGTTAATTTAGTGTTTTTCTGCTACAAAGCTAGCAGTTGCTGCCCAAAAGGTGCAGCTTGAGCTATCTGCAGAAGCTCTACTAGGCTATTTTTGGTTCGGTTGTTAAATGGAGGGACAGAGTAGTGAACTGACTAACTCCCAGCAACCAGGTGGCGCTGCGGCCCACGACTATGAACCTGGCCTACTTTCTGGACAAATATTGTCCAAACTGATCGCGGTTGCTCGAGAACCCGACTACCCTTCTAGGGGTTTCACTGAAGAACAGCGTAGCGTCGAGCTAGAAGCTGTAATTGATCAAATAGAAAACCCGGATGGTACAAAACCAATCCAGGTTCACTTAGCTAAGTTAGCCCTGATCCTCTATCAGAGAGGACTCCAACGTGGTCAGAAGATCATGAACCTCCAGAGTATGCTAGCTGAAAAACAGCAAAATGGAAGGCAGAAGGATGACGAGGAGGAAGACAACACCGATTCTGGGGAAGATGGGGAGAAGACCCCGCCCCCTTCTGCTGATGACAACAGACAGTGGGAAGGGGGGAAACACCAGGACTCTCTGGACGGACGCACGCCGCAGGGGAGAGATGAAGCTCATCTGTTCCAACCTTCGGCCCCGTTCCCTACACAAACTATAGGGCATTCAGGACCATCTAGGGGCCGAGGGCAGTTCGCCCTCGAACCCCAGGTTGGACCACCACCCTCATCTTCACGGCCTTCTCAATTAGTGAGAAGTCGACCAGCTGAGCGGCACCTCTATTTAGACCGCTCCCCCAGTCCACAAAGGGTGCAAGGTGCCGATTGGGGTTATGCACAAGCCCAAGCTGCACCTCAACCATCCACCCATCCTAGCTACTCCGGTATTCGGCATGCCGATAACCAGCTGCATGACCAAGCATCATACGCCAGTCCGTACCCGGACAGAGCGTATTACGCAGAAGCCCCAGTTGAAAGACGCAGGCTGCACTACGCAGACGTGCCCCGGGAGGAGGACCTCCCAAGACACCCACGTGACGTGCCAGCAGCCCGCCACAACATGCCGAACCCCGATTTGGGCCCCAGGAGTCAACATTGGGAGCCCAGAGCACACCAGCGATATCCAGCGCCTTCTGAGACAGACCGTGGGTCAGAGTCAGAGGATGACGCGCCGTACCGTGAGTCAGGGCTCCGTGTACGTCAAATTGAATCGCTAGCTAAAGATATAGAACGCTTTGACCCTAACACCAATGAATCCAATGTCGACGATTATCTCAGGGAGATAGAACGTTGTCTGCTTGATCTTCCAGCACCCTCTTCAAGGGAAAAGCTCAAGCTAATTTGGAAAACCACATCTAGAACGGTGCACGGTTTCATGGAAACTCTACCACCTGACATTCGAGATCGGTACTCCTCGCTCTGCCGAGCGTTGAGGGATGAATACGCCACGTATGCAGACTCCGCGTCAGCTACAATGGGGGCCTTCTCCATCAAACACGGGAGAAACGAACCCCCCAGAGAGTATTATCGCCGACTCAAAAGTGCTTATTTCCAAGGTCGAAACGGCCCTGGGCTCGAGGAAGACCCTGCCTTCAGATCCCTGTTCATTCACAACCTGCACGAGTGTGTTCGCTCCGAAGTCTCAATGTATTGTCGGATGAAAAAACTGACAACTCAGGAGATTAGGAGATACGCTCAACAGGCTTGGGAAGCCGGCGGAAAGCCCCAAAAGCCTGACGCACATCACCGCGTCATGCACCTAGCTCCCGACGCCGAGCCGCGTTTGGAGCTTGAAGGCACAGAAGCTCCACCCACTAAGCCAAAATCTGCTAAACCTAGACCTGTTAAACCGCGAGAGCAGTCCCAATCTCCTCAACAGGGGAAGGGGGGTGCTGATTGGCCGCCTAGGTCTGGACAATCAGACAGGAAGTGGCCCAACCAAAACCAACGGCAGGCAGGTCGGAACAGTGGAAGGTTTAAGGAGCGCCGCCCACAGGTAGGTCCCGAACACGAGTCCGCAGGTGAGTACTTGACCAAAGCCGACGTCCAGGAGATGTTTCAGCAGTTTCTAGCTAAACAGAAGGAACAGCTGAGATCTGCAGAAGAAACCCTTGCACCAAAGTCGTCTTCTAAGAAGCCAGACCCAGAGCCAACGTCCGCATGACTAGGCGTGGCTCAACCCCCCAGCGTGGCCAGGACCTACCTGATCAGCTGGGGGAACACTACTGGTAGATCACAGGAGTCTCCTGAAATCTACCCCCCAGAGAAACCTGATACTAAATTTCTGAAGTTCCTTGGTGACTTAACAAACCATGATCATGCTCGCCGTTTGTACTGTAGCACCAACGTAGGTGGATGCATACAGGTTGATGCTCTGCTGGATACTGGCTCAGAAATCACCCTGATATGCTCCACACTGTTCCATCGCTTGTCTGACACCATGCGGTCGCTCGGGAAACCAGTCCAGGTAGAACCATGTGACCTGAAAATCACCAGCTACACCCAGACCCGGGAGTGTATCACTCACCGGGCGTGGCTGGACATCACCTTCCAAGACATGACTCTGGTTCACCCGTTT